TCTTTCCCTCTCTCTTTGCCTGTGCTGCTGGGATGCTGCTCTGACTCTGTCCTGTCTCATGGAAGGAGTGGATGCGTAGGGAGCGGGAGGCAGCCACACAGCAACTTGAGGAGGAGGCAGAGGTGAGGAGCATGGTGGGAGGGTTGGAGAGCCACAGAAAAGGGCCGCAACTGGACTTAAAGGCTGGAGAAATCTCTGAAAGTGCTCTGTTCCTTGTAACTTCTGTTCTGCACTCCTCCCCCCCCCCCCAAAGACTTCTGGGTATAAGAGAGGGTATCAGAAATGAAGAAATCTGTAATGCGATTGAGGAAGGAATGGTGAAAAACAATGGCTAGAATTAGAAAGGTAGACAAATGCAAATGGGGAGCGAAATCAAATGAAATTATACAATGAGTTAAGGTTGAGAAAAGATACTGTAGAGGAATTGTAGATTGAGAGTCTCACATGTCTCCACATCCAGACTGGAAGCCTTTCTGGATGCTATTTGGAGAAAACTGGTATGTATGTCACATTCTACTCTGTCCCTGTAAGGGAGTGGACATGTGCACATGGGGGCGGGAGGAATGGTGGGGATCTGTGCACCTGTGGGTGACCAAGGGCCCAGAGCAACATGTTCTCTGCAGTATTTCTGAAGCTCTGCCTCTGTCATGGGTCCCCATGGCTGTGTCTGGAACGATTTCAGGTTCATTTCCAGGCAATGGGGACTTTCTGCAGAGCTTGGAGATAAAGCCTTTGTTATTAATTGGGGTGGTTTCCTTATAATGTCTCTTTCTAGTTGATCTAGTTGACTTCTGGCCTGATCTTTTCCTGGTGTTTGTGTTTTTTTGCTCTCCCCCTTGCCCCTCTCCAGAATATCACCAGTGAACCTTTGAGACTGGACTATCGGACCCTGGCTGCTTTGCCCAGCAGTGGCTTACAAAGAGTCAATCGCACTGTAAGTGAGGGGCTATTGAGATGTGGGTCCCTGCATGGGGAAAGCTGTAGTCATTCTGTTATCTGCCCTCTCCTTGTGCCCTGGTGTGAGAGATGACAGTACTCTCTGCAGAGGAAAACTGGGAAGCAGAGCTGTGGTAGACTTTGACACTGCCTGAAACAGCAGGTAGCCACAAAAGAAAGATTAGAATAAGAAAATGAGGAGAGCAGAGAGCTAGGTCGCTTTCCATTTTGGAAAGGGAAGTGGCCTGTGTAATTGCCAAGACACAAAAAGAAGCTTCTCAAACAAGGCAGAAAGAACAGCCCAGCAGGAGAGGATACATGTGAATGGGACAGTGCAGGGGATTTATCATGGAAAGAAGCAACTACTGAAAGGCTGCAGAGGGCGGGGGAGATTCTGCCTGATACAGAAGATTACAATATTGTGTGCACAGCTTAGTTGTATGTATAGATGGGATGCTGTGTAGAAAGCAGGGGGGATGCAGGATGCTGATGCCAAAAGTATTAAAAGAAAGTCAAGATCCATCTAGGACTGCAAAAGGCAAAGTGGCACTGATTGCATATCATGACTTAGCCCTGATACTCCTGTCCCTGTGACCTGCTTTTCAGTCCCTGATATGTAGTGGCAGATCAGCCAAGAGAAAATCCATATTTCACAAACTTCACAAAGTCATCTGTCTCTCCTGTGTTGTTTAAAATCTCACCTCACCTCTCCGTCTTTGCTTCCTTTGGTCATGTTTTATCTTCCCTGCATCATACCTATTCCACTGGATTTCTGCATGCGCCTTCACACACATCCTCAGTCATCACCTCCATTCCTTTCCTCCTATTGCAGCAAGACCACCCTTTGCTGTCATCATCATCAGATTCTGCATTCCCGTGCCATTGTTTCAGAATCATCTTTTTTACCTTTACTGTCTCCGTCTCATTCCATCCAGATAGATCTCCTCTCCTATTCATCTATCCTCTCATTGACTTCAGGCCCTCTTGCTTTTCTGCTTTCACACTTATTAGAGCCCTGCTTTGTCTCCAGCTTTGTCTCATTTTGTTCCTCCCCATACTCCCCAGCTTTGGGGTTTCCTCTCCTGGCTGTTCACGCAGAAAAGTATTATCAGGAAAAGGTTTAATGTATTGTAGCATCTCTTAGTGTAACTTAGCTGGAAACAAGGGGAGAGCAAGCCCCACACAAGCAGCTGCCTCTTTGCTAGACAGCCCTCCTGTTTTCCAGAGCAGCATTTGAGAGCTTGTGCCTTAGCAGTCCATGTCAGCCCGGGAATGCCTGGCACTGGAATGTGGGGCTGAACACGCTGGAATGCCGGGGTGTATGGGCAGCATCTATAAATGTCCCATTTCAGGGGAAGGGCAAATTTGTTCCCATGTTTATCTTTTTCCAGCTGTCATTTGCCCAGCCCTGTCTTTGGTGTGTTTGAAAACATATGTCTGCCTAGATCCATGAGTACCGGGAAATATGGGCTTCAAGGACAGCAAGGTTCTGGTGTTCCTTTAGGAGCTGCACCTAGCCTATTTGGTGACTACCTGGAAGACTAGGACATGGATCAGTATGGCCAGCAGAAAAGCACACAGTTCAGTTAATAGGTTGTCTATCTCCAGACAGTCTGACTGGATTAAGATGACTAATGCTATTGCCCAGTTTCCATAGTATTTTTCTCCCTGTCTCTAGGCCAACTTTCTCACCATGTACGTTCTCTAAACAATGTCTACATATCTTTTGTTACCGTATAGCTCCCTGCAAAGGAGTTGCAGGATCTGCTGTTCTTCACACTGTTAAACAGGAGTAGGTGCAGACCTCTGTTGTGACTGCTGTAGGTTGCAGGTGGAATTTGTCATGAGGATTCCCCAAGATTTGCCCCTAAAGAAGGGTACAGATGGTTGTCTATCTTAGATGAATATGTATTGCTGTGTATTTGTCCTTTTGTGAGCAATATTTAACAAAGTCTTACTGAGATACAAGCCTGTTCTGTTTGTATACTTTTAAAACCCCAACTGAAACAGTCCAGTTCAAAACTGCATGAAAATGCTTGTCTCAGTGATGCCCTCCAGCTGTGCCACCTTCTCAGTAACTTGATGTCTGTAGAGTACCCAGTGCACTGCAATGTCTGAATACTGCCATCACAGTAATAAAAGAGCTATTATAGTCTCTGTCTTCGGCATAATACAGGCTTGAAAACCATACCCATGAATGACTGCATCTAGCTGCAGCAAAACTTTTAAAATCTAGTTTTGCTTTCTGGACTAGAAGAAATGGAGACGACTTTACATCTCTCAGTAGTGTGTCACCATGGTTAGTTAACAATCTGTACTTTTTAGTCTGAATCTATTTCTTTTCAATATCTAGCCATTGATTCTTTCTCTGTGCTTGTTCATTAGATTTAAAATCAGATTTGTTTCAGTGTCTAGGGCAAAGTGATGGATCAGAACTGCAAATGCATTTCTTCTGTATTTGCCTTGGAGGATGCAGGGTGAAACATGATTGTCCTGTCTGCTAGCCTGGGGACTGAACAGAGGCAAGGCTGGGAAAAGCACATTGCATTGCCAAAATCTTTGCTTACCCAAAATAGAAATTGTTGCTTGTGTGATAAAAATAGCCCACTGTGAAGTTGAGGGGGCGAGGCATCCTGCACTGGAATACACTGCTGCAGCAGAAGCGCTGGAGATTAAAGCAAGGGGTAGATGAAGCTCAGTTCCAGTCATGTCCATGAACAAAACAGGGATTGAGGCTCCCCATGGACTATCAGACTTCATGCAGCCTTGGTGAGATGGCCATCTCCACAGTGCCCTAAAAGTGTTGTTTACTTTTTCCCTTTGTGCACAGAAAAGTAGGCCTTGGTGGTGGGATTCACCTGGAACTCGGTTTGGTCAGTGTTTGTGCTCTTCTGCTTGGCAAGGGAAAGCAGCAGTGGTATTGGAGGGGCATGGCTGTAGGACCAACAAACCCACTTTGTGGTGGTAGATTGCTGGCAGCGTTTTCATTGCAGCATCCTCAATGAACAAATAATGTTCCTGAAAGTACTTTTTGTCCAGCATAACTTCATGTGCACTAGAGCTCTTGCTAGTGTAGTTTATGGCACTCTGGGAAAAGAAAGTTAGAATTTGAGGGGGTTTTGTTTGAGTATTTTTGGTGTGGTTTTCTTACATTGGAAAGTCACATAGCTACAATAGCAAAATTTTTAAGGGTAGAACAGGCTTCACTGTTTGAAGAAATATGATATGACCCAGGGCTCTGCCAACCACTGCTTTAGTTTGGGTTGGTGTTGAGGGGTTAGGGAAGGGCCTCAGAAATTCCTGAGCCTCTCAGCTGCCATTGTAGTCACCAGCCCGCCCAGTCCCTGAGAGCTATTTTTGTGAATGCTGCCATGACACAGGAATTGGAGAATATGCTCTGAGCAGAAGAGGTCTTTCTGCTCCCTGGCAGGCACTTGGATAGAAGGAGATTTGATCATTGTTCTCTGATTATCTCTGCTTCCCTGAAGAAGGCTTTGGCTGGGGTAACAAACTCTCTTTTATAGTATTGAAAGAGGAAAGGTCAGTGTTTCATCTTGGATGGGTACAGCTGAGCCTAGGCAGAACTGGACCTCTGTTTCAGTCCTGCCATCATTAAGAGCGCTCAAAGGGATCTGTGCTCTGTTAGCTGTTATTTAGGTCTCTGTTACTTGTTGATGTGTATTTTGGTGAAGTGGGGCCATAAAAACATGTTTGCCCATGCAGGCATGATGGAAACGCATGGGGTAGACAATATGGTGCTAACTGTGTGGAAATGCATTGGAGTGAGGTGAGGGGTGTTATTCTGCGTGGCAGTGCTGGGAACTGCTTGAAAGTATGCTGGGGTGAGACAGTTGATGTTTGGCCATGTGATGGTGGAGCTGAATTAAGGATGTGCTGCAGTGAGATGGGAGAGGATGCGTGCTCATGCAGGTTTTTGCAATCAATTTTGCTAGAGAGCAGCAGTGTTACTGGTGAGCTGCTGAAGTGCAGGCTGGAATGTGTATGAGAGCTGGAAAAGTGCAGGGAGTGTGCTTGTGCCTGTCAACTACTTGGTGTATGTATTGCATGCTGACAGCAAGGTCCTCTCTTGGAAGTTGCATTCGGGATCACAAGACTGGTGGTAGAGTGGAAGAGAGGGAAGGGATGGTCATGTGGGCATTAGCACTGGAATTCTTCTCTCCCCTGTCCTTCAGCATCAGCAGCTGCTCTGTATTTTCTCCCTCCTCTCCTTTACTCTGTTCTCCTTATTTCTTTCCGATCCTTTTGTTTTTCTCTCAGCTTGTTCAGTATAATAAGGCCAGCTCCAGAATGGAGGGCGACTGCGCTATGCTGTCTCTGCCAGTGGCACAGGACAGCCGAGATTCATACTCAGAAACAGCTGCAGGCCCGATCATCGGATGCGTGGCTGGCCTTCCTCAGAACCCTGCATCACCTGGCAAGTGCACGAGTGGGGCAGAAAAACCCCAGCTAGACAAGCAGGATCCCACGGGTTGCCCCTTGTCCCAGGACCAGATGACAAAGACGCCAGAGCAAGAGTGTATGATTGACTCTCAGCCGATCCTCTTCAGTGAGAACCCCTTTGTGGTGGCTAACCGCAAGGGGAAAGCGGCAGGCAAGGCTTGCCTGGGGGGCCCACCCCTGGGCTATGGCAGGGGGGGAGTGCTGAAGACCAACCTTTACTCCAAGGCAAGCAGTCCCACGGCATGCTGTGTGTGGCATGCAATCACGCAGTTAAGGCCACCTGCGTTCTACTAAACCCCTGTGCATGCACTGGACCCCAGATGCCAGGCAGCACGAGACCTGTGCAGGGGCTGGTCCCGTCTAACACGTGTTTCTCCAGCATTGCGTGCAGAGGCTGTCTGTTGCTGATGGTCAGTGAGTTATCTTCCAGCCACTAATGTACCTCAGTTATTGCCAAGTGTGCATGCTGCTGAGCCTCTCTTTGAGGGGAGGCAGTGATGTCAGGTCACTTCCCCAGTGCTGCTCTGGGTGGGCAAGAACCAGGCTATGCGCAGCAGTGTTCTCTGCCTGCTGTGGTTGTGAGTGGGGAGTTGGCAGGGCTTGTAGAAGAATGGTGGTGGTGTCACACTTACGTATCTGGGCCTGAGCAACAGCCCTTTTTAGACTTCTGAAAACTAAGAGGCAGTGCAGCTGACATAGCTAATCTCCAGCCCAGGAGCATGCTGTTCCTTGAAATGACACATTTCAGTATATCTAGACTTGAGATTTCAAGGCAGAACTTTTCTTTCTGCTCTGGGAAATATGTTTGGCTTTAACTTTCTCACTGTTGCACAGGAAACCTGTGGGAGAGCAAGGACTAAACCCAGAGATACTATCTTCCAGATTAGCACCACACCACTCTTCCCTTCTTACTTTCTCAGCCTTTCGGAAGTCCTGAAAAGAGAAGCAGAACAGCCTCAAAAAAACACACCCCCCCTGCCCCAGAAGAAAAAACAAACAAAGCAACACCCGGCTGTAGTTCTCTTAGATGCTTTTAGCCTAGTTCCTTGGTGAGAATTTGTTTTTCATAAATGTGTAGGCAGATGAACATAGAGCAAGGCATGTAGGTGAATCTCTGTAACCTCTCAGTATATTAAAAGTCAAAGGCTGTGGTTTGGACATTATAGACATCCAGCTTTAGAGTTCAAAAGATCAAAAAAGCAGCAGTCACAAAGCACTGACCCTTTCTGAAGGTAAACTTTATGCTATCATCAGCCTGAAGGTGAGTGTCACAGTTGGCTGGAGCTAATGTCATTCCATGTTGCTGTCAAAAGGGATCAGTTCCTCCCGTCTGCATGTTCTCCTCCTGTGTGCTGACACCAGAACTGGAGCAGTTGTGTGTCAGCTGGGTTAGGGAGCTGAAGTCCCTGAAAATCAGTGTTTTTTCGTAGCTCCTTCCTTGGGGATTGGTAAGCTGGATGTGCTGGCGCACAGGAAGACTTGACTAGTAGTAGCCAGAAGCTGGGTGAGCAAGAACACTCTTTGCTGTGCAGGCATGGAAGTAGATTAGTTGATACTGCCACATTCACTGTCATTACAGTGCTAAAAAGGATCAGGTGTTTTCTGTGCCCCAATATAAACTGCAGATCAAGTCTCTTGGCTTTGGTCAGTAGAAATACCATTGCCCAAGGCTGACTTGAATCAAATTAACATGATTCACTAGTGCATGGGTATGGTATTAATGATTGCAGAATCCTAGATTTGCTTAAACTGTTCTTTAAATACCAAATGACCTGTTTCCATCTTTAGGCATCTAAAATACTTTTAGAATCGTGCTCCTTAATCCTGCGGAGGGCCTGCAGGTAATTAGTGGGACTTTGCTCTCTCCTTGTCGTTGTTGGGACTGGCTGTAGGCTGGCTTAGCCTGAGCATTGGTGATCATAGGTTCCTCTGAAAAGGATGAGCGCCCTGTCCTTCCTATGCTCTGGGCTACTTGTAAAGGTCTTACCAGTAGGCCAACAGGAATGGATGTGGCTGGAGATGAATCCTGTCTCCTTGCAGTTGGGAGTGGCTTTTTTGGCTCGATATCTATACAACTGGAGGTTTGCCTAGACTGTGGCCCAGTCTGTTGAGGGATAAAGAGAAGTTAGGGTGAGATGTCTTACAAGGCAGAAGGCTTTAACCTGATTCAGTTGGCCTTGCAGGGCATTTGGCTATGATTTCAGTTCCAGTATTTAATGTCATTCCCTTGCTGTTTCTAGCACTTTTTGCAAGTTTCTGCCAGGTGAAAGCTGCTGTTGGGCCCAAAGCTAACTCTGCTGTCTTGCGGTGAGGTGGCCTATAGTTGGCCTTGGGCTGGATGTCAGTGGTCTCCCTTGTCTCATGGTCTCTCTGCTAAGGGAGAGGCATGGAAATTGGTGCTCTATAATAACTATCTAGCTTTGTCTTCTCTCTTTCAGGCCCCTGCTGTCGAGTCTGGGACAGGAAATTCCAGGCGTGAAACTCCCTATTCTCCTAGTAATCAGCAGGTGAGACTGCCCCCAGGACAGGCAATACAGGGAAAGGGAGGGAGGCATGCTTCCAGGGCAAGATGGCACCTGGGCAGAAGGGCAGAGGAAGCCGAGTGTGATTTCCATCCTTGCGAGTGATACCTTTGGGGTGGAGGGGTATCCATCACAGGACACAACTAGAGAACTAGGGGAAGAGCTCTGCTCTTTCAAAATATCTCAGAGACCTAAGAGTGTAATTAGCTACTCAGGGGTAACTTAATTCACAGGGTAATGAGCAGGAGGGTACCTAGAGTGACAAAAAAAGTAGTTGCCTGTCTTTTTTGAGAATGGCCTCACCAATGCCTTATACAGAGACTATTTAATTCTGGCAATTGGTATGTCAAAAGAAATTTAGAAGTCAAGATCTGGAGAATCATCTCAGGTCTGTAAACCAGTCAGTCTCCCAGAGAGATCCCTGGCAACCCACATCAGCTGTTGGGAAGAAAATTGAAGGATCCTGCAGTAGACTATTATAGGTTAGAGGTCAGCTTTCACTCTGAAATGGGAAGTTTCTTTATTTCGTATAACTTTTGATTTTTTCTTCTGTAAGCGTTATCTATTCTCACTCGCCATTCTTATTTCTCATATCAACTCTGATCTTTTCTTTTAAATCTTGCTAAGTCTGATTTCACTTTTTATCCTGTGGCAGTAGATTTCACAAGTTAGTTGAGCCTTTTGAAGTTAAATACTCTTAAATGGATTTTTTAAATTTTCCCTTTGCAGTCATTATATGTCATTGTTTTTTATATTAGGGGGCTGGAATGAACTGAAAATTGTACTTCGTACTCTATCCTTAGTCATTTTGGGCCAGTTGTGTTCCTTTTGGAATGCAGCTGTTCTCCAACTGTTTGGTCTCACTAGCTCTGGCACTTACCTGGTCTTTAGTAGAGTCATTTCAGTTCTCTAAGCTGGACAAAAGCTGTCTGCTTTTTTGCTAGGTTTGTTCAGCTTAGCGAGATGAATTGCGTCATCTTGGGGTGAGGTGACAATTAGCACTGAGTCAGGAGAAGGGTCAGGACCATGTGACTCATAGCCGCAAACAGAACCGTGGAGCTGTAGTGAGCAACAGTTTAGTCCATCTTCTATTGTTTCTGTGGCCTATGTTGCATCTCCCTCAGTTCTTAGATCCTTTGAAATTGAGTGACCATGAGGGACACAATAAGATTAGAAGAAGATACTATTCATTGTAGTAATATTATTCCAATGCTTTCTGTTCCAGCTGCATATGTTTACTTATTTGCTTTTCTGACAGCAGTTGCATGCTGGTTGGAGGTTTATTTTGGGCTGTTTGTCTGTAAGTTTTCCTTTTACCACAAGTGCAAATTTTGAGATTGGGTCCTTTCTATCTAGAAGGAATGGGGTGGGGATGATACTCTTCATTCTACAATAGAAAGAGATCTAGATATTAATTTGCTCTGTCTTTAAAGATCCCCAGCTCTCAGTTGAAAAATAAGCCCAAATCTTAAAGGGTGGCCATGTAGCTGCTCACAGAATGATTTAGGAGGGAAGGTCTGGTCTAAGACCACACTTGGAGCCAGTGCAATTAGATCAGGTTACTCAAGGCCATGCCCAGTTAAATTTTGAATACCTCTAGAGATGGAAAGTCTGTGTATTTCTAGATGCCAGCTCCAATATTTGACTACTCTCAATTGTGATTTTTTTTTTTTTTTTTTTTTTTTTAAAAAAAACTCGTATTTGGATGGAATGTCCCTTGGGACAATAATGTCCCTTGGATTTGATGATCTTAAAGGTCTTTTCCAACCTTAATGATTTTGAGATTCTGTGTGATTGTTCCAATTTGTCATAGACAACTTCCATAGTACCCCTGATGTTTTTGTTTATCAGTGTTTTGGCACCGGAGGCTCAATGCCAATGTCCTTGCCATTAGCAACCCTCTGACTATAATGCCATCTGCTCTTCTAACTTAAAATCATAGAACCATTAAGGTTGGAAAGGACCTCTAAGATCATCAAGTCCAACCGTCAACCCAACACCACCATGCCCACTAAATCATGTCCCAAAGTGCCATGTCTACACGTTTTTTGAACACCTCCAGTGATGATGACTCTACCACTTCCCTGGGCAGCCTGTTCCAGTGCTTGACCACTGTCACTAAAGAAATTTTTCCTAATATCCAATCTATCCAATCTGGCACAACTTGAGGCCATTTCCTCTCGTCCCATTGCTAGTTACTTGGGAGAAGAGACCAACATCCACCTCACTACAGCCTCCTTTTGGGAAGTTGTAGAGAGTGATGAAGTATCCCTTCAGCCTCCTTTTCTCCAGACTGAACAAGCCCAGTTCCCTCAGCCGCTCCTCGTAAGACTTGTGCTCCAGACCCCTCACCAGCTTCATTGCCCTTCTCTGGACACGCTCCAGCACCTCAACGTCCTTCTTGTAGTGAGGGGCCCAAAACTGAACACAGAATTCGAGGTGCGGCCTCACCAGTGCCGAGTACAGGGGCACAATCACTGCCCTAGTCCTGCTGGCCACACTATTTCTGATACAAGCCAGGGTGGTGTTGGTCATCTTGGCCACCTGGGCACACTGCTGGCTCATGTTCAGCCAGCTGTCTTGGGATGGGCTTGCTCAATGATAAATTGTTTGTCTTTAGAATCTAATGGTTTGTCATTATCCAATTTCTGTGGCAACAGTGACCGCTTTGTCTTCTCATATCAGTTACTGCTCTGACAGGGGAAACTTTCCAGGTGAAACTGTTCACTCTCTCCTCCATGGGCTCTGAGAAGAATAAACAAGGTCTCACTAATGCATTCTGTGGAGTTAAGAGCACCCCAGGAGCATTTTTGCAGATGCAGGCATTTGCCTATCCAATTTTAAGTTGAATGTCTTAAATTCCCTGTTACATAGCACTTGGTGTTATATGTAGTCTATTCTACCACTTCAGGTTTTTTGTATCATGAACTCTCTGTAGCTTGAGCAACATACTGAATAATCTATACAGATTTTTTTTTTCTTGTTTTTCTCTTTTCTCTCTTTATTCAGAGATGCATATGCCATGAGAGATTCTATTAATTTCTTAAAGCATTTATAGCCAATGTCATGACTTTGTCCTTTAGGTCTTCAGCAGGTTTGATTACTGCTTTCATTTCTGAGCTCAAGTCTGTGGGTCATTTTGATAGCCTTTTTTCCTTATTTGTCTATGGCTGTTGTGAATTAGTGACTCCAGCAGTGGTTCTTGAAGATGCTGCGCTGTTAGTCTTGCTAGTTGCATTCTCAGCCCTACATTCTGTACATAAGCTTTCTGTCACTTTTACATCATTTAATACTTTTTGGATCAGAGCCTTCCACAGCAGTCGTCTGCATGTCAGGTACGGCATCTGGTGGATTTAGTTCTCTCTGGACAGTGAATGTTATACAAAATGGAACAGGTCCAGCAGATAATAATGAAGGACACAGGTCAGTCACTAGCCTTGTGGCTTGTACAATTTCTGGGGATTCAGGAGGCTTGACCTTCCAGTTGTTGCTCCAGAGTAGAAGTTCCAAGGAACTGCATCTCTAATTCTCTGCTGCCGTCTATTTTCAATGTGAATTCTTTGGTTTTGACATGATGTAGTCCAGACAGAATTTATAGGCTTATTTCAGAGCTCTCAGAGAATTACTGAAGGAAGTTGAATCCTTTGTCCTGAGGCTGGCGTCACGATGGTCTTGCCTGGCCTTGAGTTCTGGAAGCTTCTGGTGGGGGAGGAAGCAGGTTGGAGGAGGAAGGAGGTATTTGTGGTGGGTCTGTCTGTGCATGCCAAGGAGGGCAGAGGGGATGTCTCTGTGGCAGGCAGCAAGGAGCTGTGTGGGAGCACTGACAGCTCTGGGTGACTGCAATCTCTGTGCTGGGAAAGGTGCTCGTCTCGGCCTCTCACGCGGAAAACACGGTCTCTTCATTTTCTCTCCCATTCTCTCCCCTGATGATCCTCCCTGGCGTTGCCCCTCTCCAGATGCCTGCAGCCCCTCGGCCTGCTCACCTCTCAGGCAGGGAGACCCGCTTTGTAAGTGCCTGTTGGTGTGCAGTGTGCGCTGCTGCTCCGTGCTGCTCTCACCCGGCACCGCTGCTCTTCGCCCTTCCTCCGGCTCCGCGTTCCCCAACCTCTTGGTCTTGGCGTGCACCGAGGGCTTGCTGCGGAGGGCAGCGGCCGGGATGGCAGGCCGAGGCACAAGAGGCTGTTCCCTGCTAGCCACTGCTGAGATGGCATCTGTGAACGCTTCCTGGCAGAGAAGCTGTGGTGCTGATGGCTTTGCTCAAGCTCAGTAGCAAGTGCAGAGGGCAGGGGATGTAAACAAGGGCCAGGGCCAGCTGAGCTGGAGCGGAGATGGGGAGGGTGGGGGTCAGTGCCCAGAGGTGTGCGAGAGAGTTGTGAGTGCCTCCTCACGTAGCAGAGGAACTGGGAGAAGCTCTTGCGGGTGGGCTCTGGACTGCTGCCCGCATGAAGAAGGTATGGAGGGGGTTAGTATGGGACTTCGTGGCTTTTCCTTGAACAGGGGAGAGGTGGGGGTTGGGAGTTTTCTGTTTCTTTTTGTACAGAGCCAGGTAAGCTAAAGGCTTCCGGTATGGACTCCAAATTTACACCTGTATTTCTGTTTTTAGGCTTCCATTAACTTCATTACATCGCAGGATGACAGTAAATCAGTAAGTACATCTGGCATGAGACTTTATTGTAGTGTCCCTATGCATTCTCCAGCACACAGAGCTTGCCTCTTCCTTCTGTGTGTGCTCAATTCCAGCTGTGCAAGTCTTACTGTTGGCTCTTACTCTGTCTTCTTCAGTCCTGCACTATACCTCAGGTTTGTACAAATGCACCGTCTTAAATATTGTCAATGTGAAAACTTGATGCAAGTGTTTTTGCAGCTTTTATTCCTATTTACCCTTGCAGCCTTCAGTCATGTAGTTTTTGCTGGCTTGCTCAAGTCCTGCCTCTACTCTCTTTAGTATTAGATGTTTTGTTCACTTCCACACTGCATCCAACAGTGATGACATTTAGGTTAAATCTCAGACTCTTGTCTCTGCTCTTACGCCTGCATTTCTAATTGGATCCTGTCTGGGTCTTAGTTAATTTTCATCCCCAGCTTTTGCCAATACCCATTCCTGGCTGATGTTTTCCTACTGCATCTTGATGCTTACATTTTCCAAGTTTTGACATACTCATGCCATACTACTGCTACTTGTATGGCAGATTCTTCCTTGTGTCCTGGCCTTCTCTGTAACCTGTTGGTCCTGTCGTGACCCTGACTTGTCTGAATCTCTTTGCCTGTCCAAAATACTTGCACCAGAGGCAGTTTGGTGTTTGCTTCAGTAGCTCTCCCTCCCGGTCTGGTAGCTGGAGTCAGCAGCACAGATGAGGACTTGAGCTCAGGTGCATGAATTTGTCTTATTCACTTGCATGGCAGAGACATCTTGCTGCCCTAACTGCTCATTTCTCTTCTCTCTCTCCCTCC